GTCCGCGAAACACGATTCGTTATTTCCCAATACACATATTTGCGTTTTTCTGGACACCAGTTTACCTACTCATCAACTGGGAACGTTTTGTATTTCGGTTGGGGAGAAATTTGATGGTAATTTAGCTGCGAAAGAATTTCACAAATCTTGATATGGTGGAAATTTTCTTTATTGTTTTTATAGGTGCGCTATTCCGAGATGAAATTGCAATCAGTGTCCAAAGTCAATCGTCTGTATCTCGTTGGAAGGTAGTGAACAATTTGAGTTTTGTACAAAAGCTCCTACCCGAAAAGAGCGCAGAAAATAAAGTTCCAACGGAGATATTCTTTAATTTATACGACGAAACGGAATTACAAATTGAATCGATGTCACTCAGTTACTTGAATTGATTGTTTCAATCAAAAAAAGTTTTCATTTTCCAAATGAACTAGTAATGCATTTTAGAAGCTTGGTTTCGAAAATGTCTATACAAACAATAATGAAATGCTGAAACATCATGGCAACGGTTGGTAAAAATTTAAAAATCAAGTTTATTTTTTCTCGGTATTTAATTGTTTCCTCAGTGTATAAGAGATAAATTTGATGGATACGTATTCGAAAGAAAAATTTCAATGAATCAAAAACATTAAAAATATTGTTGATTGTAACTTAATTCGTTCTGTTTTGATTCAGTGAAATAATGTGCAAGTTCAGTTTGTTCGCTTTTGAGGTATTGTATTTTTGGCGATCAAACCTCAGCAACTTGACTCTGTGATGGAGGAATTAAGTGTTGAAAGTCTGCATCGAACAAAGATACTGGTGTCAATCATGAGTGGTATCAATATCGAAACTCTGCAGAAACACGTGAGTTATGAAAATTTTCAATCGTACAGTCAGATTTTACAGGTACCTCCGTTCTGTCTTCAAACTTTCACTGGAAATCGTATAATAAATTTCAAGAGTCAGGGAAATGNTTACAGGTACCTCCGTTCTGTCTTCAAACTTTCACTGGAAATCGTATAATAAATTTCAAGAGTCAGGGAAATGATAAATCTTCGAAATTTGTTATTTGAAGATAAATTAGACTGTGTGGTGATTGTTAGACCCTCCAAAAAATTTAATCCTGTTGAACTGTTCGTTGGTTTGGTTTTGGTGGCTATATATGTGAAAAAACTTTTCTTCTGCATAGAGCGATCGAAACAGGTGGATCATTAATGTGTAAGATCGAGAGGATATATCTTCAGCAGAATTCACTTGACAATATTTCATGTCAGTTATAGGCTTCACAGAAAGGAGGCCAAGGCACAAGAGTGCTCCGTATGATGCCGACTATCCCTGCTTCGCTCGGTGCTAGTGCATCAGCGATTGCCGCTGGTAAATCTACTCCTCAGTCTCAGGTTTTTACGCAAGACTATATCCGTATGATAGTTGCTCGTTTTCTTTCAGCACGTCCAAGTGAAACATTCTTTCATCACTTATCATCATCCGAGAAATATTACTGGAGTCTGAGCGCATCTGCGTAAATTTCTCTCAAACGAATCAAAGTTCTACTTCTCCTTTGGACATTTAATCTGATGAATCTGTGATTATTTATTATTTTAATAATTTTTTGTGATCAAATGTGTGATNGAATTCGTTTTGAATCGATGCCGTTTTGCAGGTTGACGTTGTGGCGTATTTAGCTGAATGTGTTGGAAGGTCTTTTGTGATCGCCGAAAAATGCTTCGATGTGGCAACTGCTGTTACTGGATGTGGAACTGCTTCTGTTCGTTTTAGTTTCGATGCATTCTGAACGATTTTGAGATGTTTTGTTGGCAGTCGAAATATGGAATTCTCGTTGTGCATTTTTGCAGCCTTCGTATTGCGTTTTGCTGATTCACTTTCGAATGAAATTTGAGAAGGCGTGCGCGGTGTTCCTTCGGAAGCTTTTTGTATAAAAATACGTGATCAGTTCAATGGTTGATCGTTTGTCGCAGTGAAACAGTGTGGCTTTTGGTACAGTAAGTGTTGATGGAACAATTGATTGATTCAGGTGTTCACAATGATTGAGGCGTTAGCTGATGGCGGTGTGCTGGGTGGCTTGCCTCGTTCAACAGCTCTCGCGCTGGCATCTCAAACTATTATGGTAAGTCTGCATCGAATGTATTCATTGTACCGTCAAGAAGCATTTTCGTTGAATGATTTGAAGTGCACTTTTAGGGTGCTGCAAAGATGGCGCTCGAATCAGACGAACATCCAGCAAAACTCAGAGATAATGTCTGCTCACCGGCTGGTATTACAATTTGTGGTGTGCGCGAATTGGAGCGGCACGGTTAGTGAGATAGCACTTTGAATTTGTGAATGTNGCTGATCTGTAATTCTATTCGAGCGAGCAATATTAGGAAGTGTATCATCTCGTTATGTGCCATTAAAATTGATAAAATTATTTCTCCGTCACAGAATCCAGTAGCTCCCTCCATTACAACGTTTTTGTTCGTATCCTTTTGAAAAAACTTCTCTTTTGAACAGTGATCATTTCCGTTTGATTTGAGTATATTTTCATCTGAAGTTTTGTCAACCTTCAGGAGCCCGATCTGCACTCATTGAAGCTGTAAACGCCTCAACACAACGTTCCAAGGAGCTTTCGCAACTTTAGAAATGTTGACCGCGTCATTTATTTTCATTTGCATATGTTTCTCACTCAAGAGCTTCTGCAAAATGTGAAAACGGGATGCAATCTCATTTGGAGACTATGCTGTTATAGTGTTGCTTGTTGAGTAGTGTAAAACTTATAGATTAGCTTGTTTGATTAATTGGGATTGAGACATCTAAAAACTTTAATATATTGAACTTATTACTATTCCTGCTGAAAATATTACTGATCATTTCATGTTATTATGAATGTGATTCGATAGGATATATGGTGCATATTGTGCCGCGTTATTGTGACATTGTTTCATTATTTTCATATGTATGCTCTTCAGAGGCTTGCCATGATTGATCTTTCCTGTAGCTTTTTCAAATGCTTCACTGTGATTTGTCTTGATTTAATAGATTAGATCGAATCTGGTCACTAAACTTCACTATTTATTTCGTTTTAGTTGCTTTCAGCAATTCAGCTGATGCGATTATTTTTATTGGAATTTCACATATTTTCTCGCTTTCTTTTGATTCTGTTGCATTCAATACCTCTTCAACAGATCTGTAGCATATTCCATGATTTGATTTCATCTTCTCCTTTCTGTAATTCATTTGATTTCGCAATTTTTTATCTTACCTCTACCGTCCTGCATTCCTTAGTTTCATGTTTCTCATGTTTTTGTTTCAATTAAATTTTCATCGATATTAATGATCAACAGCACTGATATCAGAAATATATACAATCGTCATTAAATGATAGGAATAAATGAATTTTGTTTCGCCCTTCTCGTCCGATTTATCACACCTTTGATATATTGTTCATAAAATTCCGATCTGATTTTCCTGAAAGCGAAAACAAATAAATAGCACCACAACACCGGAAACGATATCTTTAAAATATGTTGAATGGAATATAGATGAATGAATNTAATCAGTATGAAATTTCTGCAAAGTGTTGATAAAGGCGAAACAGGTAACAGCTGAGTTAAGCATTCGTAATATAGGAATAATGAATAAGATGAACGAATGCCTTAACAGGAGAAGAGAAAGGACATCTGAAAATGTTTAGATGTTCTGCTGAGCTGATCGTGAGTGTGGTCATACTTACTCTGTGAAATGATTTCTTTGGAGTTTTTCGTGTGAGCGATGAAAGCCATCGATCATGGTTTTGTACAGAAGCCACATGATTGAGCGCATGACTGCTGCATAAGGTCCCTTCAACATGCGGATGTCATTAAACTTCTTATAGATCATATTCATTTCGAATAATGGAACATATCAAGTGAACGTTTATACGCTAATAAAGTGATAAACTCAGAATGTATCACAAATGAATGTATCACGTTGAGAACGTGTTCGTGACTTGTTTTCGGATTGCTGTGAATGTCAGAGGCGAATATGTTTTTGAAAATGAAGTAGCAAACGAAAGTTGTTAAAAATGTATCGCCCATATTGATCAACGTTTGAAAATATTCATAAGCAACTCACTGGTACAAGAGATTATCGCACAAACCGTCTTTGATGTACAGTTTGCATCGTGAATCCTTATCCGTACAATTCTCTTGTGCAGATATTGGCTTCTCTAGAAAAATTCGGTGAAATTAAGATAGTGGAAATACATCATCAAACATCAATTTCACTGAAATGGTGACCCGTTAAGGATTGGAGAGTATTCATCTGCATGCAACCTATATTCCATTGCACAGTTCCAAGTCGGTGATTGTGTTCCGATATCCATATTACTTATGATTATTAATTGAACATTCTTCTTGCATGGGAAAAAGATGAGTATTAATTGTGCGTAAACTGATTTCAGCAGCTTAAAGATTCGAGTAAGTGGGCATCACAATAGATTTCATCGAGTCAAAACGATAACGGAAATCATAAGGAAAAATGTGTATGGGTCTGAACCTGTTGATTGCTTATTACATTTCCCAAGTTGATTCAGTTTTTCAATATCGAGACGAGTGAACTCCGTATTATCATTCAGCTTAACGCCTTTCTGGAAAATGGATTTAGATCTGAACGACTGTATATACATTTATATAATTCCGATGAAATTTTCACCTGAGAATATCGGTTAAAGCACGGGTTTCAATGGTATCGGAATGTAGTAAACCAGTTTAACTATATATTCTATTGAATCAAGCTTCAGCAGCTTGAAGTTTGCTTTCAATTCAGTCAGTGTAAGGTGTAATAAAACAATATCTATTCCAAATAGTGTCAGTGGTGAAAGTGCGTAGAATATACCTTTAGAGGTATCATTGTAACAAGCCTTCGCATTGTTTTTTCATCGAGCCTACCGAACGCCGTTCCGTCGTAGTGCATAATCGAATTATAATCGTATTTGCGATCGTATACATTCACTTCATCCGATCGTAACTTGTGGAAGTTTTCTGAAACATTCATTCGAGTGCTCAGCCCAAAAATCTTCATTTCAATTCAGCACTGTTCTAAGTGAATGGATGACCTAAACGAAGGTAGAAAATTTATTTTGAGGATTAACCGAGTTGACCAGGTAGCACATTCTCGTATTCGATGCGAATGAACGCATCACGATCGGGTCGTTGATGTTCGTGCTCGAAACCGATCACGTGCATCATCTCATGCCATATGATGTAATTCGCCAAGCAATCCCGTCCCAACGACATCAGTTGGCGACCACCTTATCAAACATTATTACATTACCAAAAAATACTTAGGCAATACTTTTAGCTCGAGCATTAATTAATTACCCGTATATCTAGTTACATTTTGCCCTCATAATCTGTTCTATTTTTGTTACATTTTATTAACGTGTATATTTGCTCACTATATTCCTTCATTGTAGGCTGGAAATCGCCTATCTGAAACCGAAATAGAATTGTTTGTCGCAAAATTTGAAGTAATCCTAAGCTGCTTGAGATATCAATTTGTTTAACCAACATTTATGGATGAAATTCGTCTGTAATCTATAATGCAGTATCTTTAAGATAATGAATTCATCAGACTCACCAATGCGACCTACATATGAATAGCAACCGTCGAGCGGCTCTATCGCAATGTAGTCTGGTTGCATTGTCCTCTTGACAAACTTGAAACATGAACGACGCTGTAATTCCAGAAGTGCCGTCATGATCACTTTCTTCCTTGAAAGATCACTGATTAGACGCCATCTCAAAAATATCGTCGACTGGATGGTAACTTGAGAGTGAACGATGCAAAAATAGTAAAAACTGACTCAAACGCATTGTACTGATTGGACAGTTGAAACGGTACGGTGTTGTCCTTCCATCGGATATCATAAGCGCCTTTTCGAGAAACATACCTTAACGGCTCCTTGCTTCGCACATATTTATGCGATTGCTTCGGCGAAACGACTGTAAACTTAACGTCTTCATATTATGCACAATATCGGTAGTAATGCGAAAAGCAAATAAAGAGAGCAAATGAATTCTACATTGATCTTAACGAGAGCACATGAACAGCATCACTGCCGTTTCGAAACTGAATTCAACTAGTGGCATAGCAGCGTTCGGGAATTCTCCATTTCAGTTTGGATTATTCCTTAATTCCGGATCCAATGAATCCTTAGCCATCAGAAAGATGATCAGAAATTGACTCATTCCGGATGAATCCTTTCAACGAACTTACGCAGATCACCGAATTGCACATTTGCCTTACGATCACTGTTGATCTGCCACAAAGTTTTGTTTGCTCCATAAGCACTCAAGATCGCCATCAGCAGTACACAAACAACAAACAGTGTGGTGGGCAATTGGAAACACATTGATGCAGGATATGCTCACTGAAAACTGCAAAAAATAATCGAAGCATGAAGCCGCAATAATCAGTAAGATACGAAATCCTGAATGCTTCACAGTGTGAATCTACAGTTTGTTGTGCACTGTCGATCGGACTTATTGCGAAATGAATGAGCATGGAAACCGTTGTGTTATCGCTGATTTTGAAGTGAATGGCATAGTGGAAGGCTTGCGCAGTTACCGTGAACGAGCTTCAATCAAAAACCATTGTTGATTCAGATGGAGTTTGCACAAAGTGAAATTCGATGAAATTTCCGAAAACATTCACTTCTGATTAGCCAGTGATGTTCGACATCAATTCATGACTCAGAAAAGCAAACAGCGGACGCAAGTGTCCGTTGTCGATTCGATTTCGAGACAGTTTTGTCACTCGAAAAACAACTTCACGAATTGTTCGCTGTGTTTGTTCAGCTTGATTGCTTGTTTTGATAGAATGTTCGCATGAATGAACAAAACTGGACATAGTGACCATTGGCGCAGAGAAATTGACGCAGTTGGTTTCGTGAGTGGATTGATTCGTTTATTACAGTTTGCGTGCATACACAATTGACTGAAGCAGAACAATGGCATTAAATAATGACTCAACTGTTCATTTTCACCAACGCTTATCGGAAAATTTCCTCCACCTTGACAATCGTGGTCTTTTTCCAGAACGCCACTTCGCATTATTCCCAAAATGTTTGTGGAGCTTTGATAGTTTCAGATACACCTGATAAGTTATCACTACTAAGTAAAGCTCATTCAGAACATAAGATGAATGAATGATTTCGAACGATTTCTTATTCATAATGCTATGATATTTGGAAATACTAAAGCACAGTGTATTGGTATTTATTATGTACTAATAAGATGCTATTGATGATGCTCCAATGGGATTGGTTGCGTTTAGCATGGAAGTTCCATGAATGTTTGTGAATCGAACACATTCTCTGGTCATCCTTTCCGAACTCAACCAACAGCAAAGTTTTGTTATGGGAAAACAGATAAATTGCGCCACAAAAAACGAAACAAGATCGTTGATAATAGCAACAAATAGCACCACCAGTCAGCAGTTATCTATCTCTCAATCACGCACTTGTCCAAGTGAATGAAGCGTATCAATTTTTTCTGCTGGTGTAATATGCAAATTACAAGCCAGTTTTCCGAGGTGCTTAACGCTGATTCACATAAATTCCAATCAGCAGCTGGTGGCTGAATTCGACTTCAGTTCTTCTAAGGTTCGGCGTATCTCGTTGATGAATTTGCCCCATTTCCTAATCTTTAACACCTGTGTTTTGGTAAATGCACAGACGAGTGTATGTGATTTTTTGTGTTCTGCTCTTGAATGTTGGCTTTATCAATAGCGATGACAAGCCGAACAACACCATGAATGGTCAATGCGGTCGCAAAGTAGTGGAAACGATGCTGTGCTTCTGAACTCCTCATCTGACAGCAAGTTCCCTTCGAGGCCAACTGATTATCGAGCTTGCACCAGACAGTTTTGCTCGTATCTGATCAGTTCGACGCAATAATGTTATTAATTACTGATGTTAACAATATTACGTGCATTTCAAACGATTCAATATTTTGGAAGGTGTTTGTTAATCAGTTTCTCCTATATTTTTCTGATACGCAGACAGTACAGTCACACTGAATTTATGCTATTTTCATCTCATTTTATTCGCAAGCTCATATAGTTCCTTTATTTTGGGGTACTGTATCACTGCTTCGTTTTTGGTCGTTTCATCTGGAATATTATGTTGCGTTCACTGAAACTTTCAGGATTAATGTGAGAAATCATTACAATTTCATTAGGCATTTTGAAATGCAAAAATGTGGACTAGAAACACAAAGCAATGACATTGACAATGAATTATCGAATTCGTTGAGTGTGCACAGTTATATTTGGTTGCACTGTTATTCAAAGACAACTGATACTGTGTCAAGATGTAATGAAGTGTTTCGGCAGGGAGTCACTCCATCCACCCCTTACAACCACTAACAACTCCTCAGCTATCAATCAAACACTGCAGTTGTCAACCGCATTATCCCCATTCCCACTATCCACGTTAATAACCTTTTATGAGAATCACTTTTTGCCAAGCGATTTCCAGTGACGAATTCACTCGTTTCTTTCACTCATATGGTCTCAATTCGTCAGGCAATTCCTCAATCATTACGGGATTTTTTCCTATTTCAGAACGTCTCCTTTGACAACCAGTCATTCAACAACACCAAACTCCCTTATAGATATGTGCTTCCAGAAAGGTCCTTCACAAACGTATCATTTATCAATGGAATGCTAAACGGTATGAAAAAGAATTCCTCGAAGTATTCATTCACGTTTTAACCCACAATGTGCCGCTCTACTTTCTTCATTAATCATTCTCCAAAAAAACGTTAATCGAACAATTTACCATTATTCGATTTCATGATCGCTGCTGTTTCGGTTTTCAGTAAACCGAAATCGAAACATCTTAATCAAGTCATTACCACTGATTTCAAGCAAATTCCACAAATAGATTGCTTCATCAATGGAGAACAACATTGATAATATGTTTGAAAAATTGAATGTCCCGCGAGTTAACATTCAGTCGAAGAACATAGAACAACGCGGGTAATTGACCCACTATTCCCATGCCTAATCGTCTCGCGTGATTTTTGAGAGTAATTTGAGTCACATTCCATTCACTGCAATCAAAATGCCTAGGAAACGCCGATTATTCCAATGATATCCGTTCAACTGCATGGAAATTATCTTGTAACACAATGTGAACGTTGTCATCAGTCGAAATGGTTATTTGACTTGACAGTAAAATTACATAATGAATGTAAACAGTAGTAATTGCTGCCATATAATGAGCTTAACCTTGATTTCGTATTTCCAATGATTCGAATCATAATTTCTGAGACGTTATTGACCGACCGCATCAGGTGTAGTTATCAATCGCATGCTCTCTGTCTGTCGATAGACATTCATCAACAAATTTATTGCTATAGATCTACACAAATCAACTATCTAGAATGTGTGCTGGCTGCATTCGAATGAATAATCAGTTACATCCCCCGCCCCTTCTGTGCGATGAATTTAGATGATATATTTTGTGTTCATGATGAAAAGGATTATCTCTGCAAGCGGATGTTTGGATTTCGTAGAATGAAGAATCCATGAGCAGTCAGTCAGTCACAAGAATGCGTGCTATGAATGTGATTTTGAAACGATACCATCGAATCACGTTCACTGTGTGTATTGTTCAGTGAGTAAATGCACCAAGATCCGTGAAAAATGAATGCAAGCGATGAAAAGGCTTGCTTCATCAGCAGCTGCTTCTTATTCCAGCTCATTACTCCAGCTCTTTCGCTGATCTTTTCCGTACGTTTTTTCCGCCTAATACTAGACAACGAGCAATGACGTTGATTAATTGAAAGCATATGTGGACAGGTAGATGGATAGGTGGTATATGAGTCAGATGTCCTGTTAGCGTTCGTTGTCATAATAAAGCAAACAGCGAAACGATCTGCGAAACCATCAAAGTGATCATCAGAATCATTTGGAGTTAATCTTCCTAACTACTTCAAGACGGAAACATATGTTTTGTATCCGGAACGCATCATCGTAAAGATTCTTGGTTTTAAATATTCTAGTTTTGTATGCTTTCCGAACGGAACTACTGACCAGTTTATCAATTATTCTCACTAATTTCTTCACTGAAAATAAGTTTGCTTTAGCACTTTTCGTGCGGAAAAATTGTGATCCGTTCTTCGTTGTCAGTAGTATCAATGAAGCATATGAGCGAATATCTGACATTAAATTTCACCTGCCCGTAATCATGCTGTTTCAGTTTGGATTGCGCCAACATATCGTAGAACGTTTGCGCTGAAAGTTCATAAAAATGAATGAATTTTGATGCAAAGATATGGACGGAATGAATGGATGATTGAACGGTATGTGCTTTGCGAAGGCATTTTGTGAGCGAAATAAACAATCGAACTAAAAATAACAATCGCTGCTAGTCGAATCGGTAGCAGTTTAGTCGACGATCAGCTACGAAAATTTTGTTTGTCTTTCGTCGGATCCACTCATCAACTATCTCAAACAACGAAATCCCTTCGGAAATGTTTCGTTTCAATTTTTTGTGAGGATTTTAGTGGTGAGATCAGGTGGCGTATTTCTTGTAATCTTAGATGTCAACGTTTCTTAATGATTCACCTATCATTTTGTTTCAAATCTGAATCTGAATATTGTCAAGGCGATGTGTTACACAGCCTTGAATTCTCTTTGAAATGAATTCCCACTGGGAATCCCTCCAAATTCTCATTCCAAAATGTGTGGTGGTGCACAGGTAGTAATATTTTTTGGAAGTTATTCCGACGGTGCGCTTCAGTCTGCGAATTTGAATGTGAAGTTTGAAGAAATAATATTCATCAATTATATTCAGTTATATCACTATCAGCTGTTCGAAATATTCGCACACCTGGAGTCGAACTTCTTGAAGTTGGCTCCGTCTACAAACCTTTCAACAAGTAAATACCTTATTGCTCCACTGTGGAAGCACCTGCTGACATGAGAGCAGTGATATATGAAATCAGAAAATATTTTATGATTCATTTCAACACATCGCTCGGCTTGCATTTAACGATAACTGTCGTTTGCGTTTTGGATACATTATAGAGGTGCTGCATCCTTCCAATCAACGTCGGATGGCTATTCTCGATGTTGTTTCTGATTTTGGTTATCCTTGACAATTTTTCATTTATTTGGTACTTCTGGACTAACTGAGAAGGTTATTTCTGAGTCATGACAGTTCCGCTGTCATGACTCCGACAGCCTTCTGATTATTGATGTCATTATGTTGTGTAGATCTGAGCATAATATTCACTACTTCATCGCGTTCATGCAAGATTTGCTTCGTCCCCAATTGTGTCCTCCTATTGTAACAAGTGATCATGAATAAAACGAAATTAAACATTCATGAGGACAGCGTACACTCCAAACATGTGACGCTATCAGTTACCTTCTTTCGAATTTTGAGTTATAGCATTCAAAAGAAAGCATGAAACCGCAATCATAATGAAAACCTTTGAAATATCCGCTCAAACGATTATCCAAATACCAGTGTCCATCGAAGCGCACTGCAGCAACATCGGAATGTTGGTTCATTTACCGCCAGATCAGGTTTGCAACTCATAAAGTGCGATTAAAACAAAGAAGTTTCAGTGAAGATTTCAAACGGATTTGATTGCGTAAATGAATATAAAGATTCGATTACGGTTTATGATCCTTTTATGTGATCGAATCTCGTTTTCACCTCTTCGTAACCTCTTTTACTCTGTGCGTCGCGTCGCTTTGCCCTCGTCGTTAAATATCAACTTGGTTTCATTAGGTGTTAACCACATGCCAAATAACCTTTCGCACTGCCTACCATATGCTGTTGATTATTATACGATGCCATATTCAAATGAGAACTATCCTCAAACATTGTGTTTGCTGTCGTTACATAAGAACAGCTTGTTCACCCAACTTCATGCAGTATTCACGATGGCTGATACTTTTTTTAATATTCTTAATTTTCCTTTTTTTTTGNCTAAGAATGCATCCGATCCAATTTTCCAATGAAGCTGATGGTAGCGATCATTATTAATTCGCTTAGCTGTTCCATTCAGTCGTCTACGAAGTATTCAGTTTGCAGAGATACTTTAGCTCCTTAGAATTTGCTGAAACGATCGACATGCGACGTTCAAATTGTTTTATCGCCACCTAGTTTCGATCTGCAACATTCATTGATCAGCCGTTAATGCTTTCGGTTGATAATAATAGAATGCATTAGATTCCTGTAAGCACATTATGATATCAATTTGGGTAATGTTTTTCCTGCAAAGCATCGTAGTAGGAATACGTTACCGTACTGTAGTGGTAATAGGCAACATTTTTTCTAAGTTTCTGCTGGAGAAAGAAACCAGTTCTTTGATTCGCCACTAGTTTTTTTTTTCAGTTCTTTCAGTGCAATCCTCCTTGGTCTTTGGCAAGTCATTTAAGTTTTGTAACGTGAGCGAATGGGAGAAAACGAATAGTTTGTCACTCATCAGAGTCGTCATCAGGGTGATATCTCATATCCAGCTGTCACTTAAGCCTCTTACTTATGAGCATTCATACAGTTCCTTGAACCTTCAGTGTGTACGATTTCTTTCAAGGCTCCAAGGACTACGCATGGTTAGAAACACAAGACCTTTAGTTGGAATTAATATGCCTGCATTACCTCGCCATCCATGATGTTGCTGTTCTTAAAATATCGTTGGGCAATATGGAAATTAATTCATCTGAATTGATCAATCGCTAAAATTCTGACGAAATGAAGAGAAATGTTTCAGTCACTGATGAAATTATATCAAGCAAAAATTTTTTTGGTCAATGTGATGAGAATAGTCGAGATTCTTTCATGCATACTGAGGTAGAATTTGTTTCTCATATTTCACATCAATACTGAATTGCTCCAAAGAAGTGAGTTCACTGAAGCTTCCCAAAATGTGATATAATTTGAATGTGACATTCACTTCTATCAATTTCGATTTAATTTTCAAGTATAATTTATTGTTCGTTGGATGGATGTGCAACAGAATTGAATATTTATCAATGAAGTATCCGTGTGATTCTTAAAATGAAACTATTGATGCAGCGATATCGTATAGCAGCGATTTGTTGATGATGAGGATAGATGCGCTGAAAGTTTGTTTGTAAATCGTCGATGATGCAAGCACTAATCGGCTTGATGAAGCAGCATGTGTAACTTGTTTCTGTCACTTGTTCATCTTCCATTTGAAGATATTTCATGATATGGTTAATATTCTTAATGGTGAATGAAGAGTGACGATTAACGCCAAGACGTCCGTCGTCCTTTTTGCAATAATCCTCTTGCATGTGATTATAGGTATTTGAATAAATGAATTTGTATACATTAACACATAATATCGAATATTATGTATCAAGAAAAGGCATAGATAGCCTTTGCGTAACGCAGACAAATACTTGATATGGAGCAATTATTTGCTTTAGCTGTACAAACAACTAATCACTGGCATCATAATGCTGTGTGTATCATTTGCGAATTAATGATAACGAAGTGTAAAGTGTGAAATTGGTAAATGTAGAATCAACTTTATACGTACACATCCAATTCATCATTGCTTTATGAATCGTTTTCCGATCAGATATATTTGCTGGCCTTTTCAAAGTGTTCTTCGAATCATTTCTTTATTCACTTCATTTATTTTGCATCCACAGACAAGATGACTCCATCATCTGCCGAACAGCTCAGCAGCAATTGATCATCGCTTTGACAACTAAGGTAATTGTAGAATTTCGACTCGAATTTTTTCTTAGTGCTCGCTCTTTGATAGTGTTTCGTTCAAGGATAGTTTATTCCAAAAAAAGCGCATTTCCATCAATCAAAATATGTTGCTGAATGAGTCACAAGATAAGTGAATGAATTCATGCGATCTGCTAACAATATTTACAAAATCTTCATTCCACCTTTAATTGACCATACAGCTGAGGATCATCATAGTATTTCCAACTGCAACATCACCCAAGAATATTATCATTTACGCCTCAACACACTGAGAACTTGCAATTAATTAACCTTTTTGTCCGCACTGAACTCAGTCATGGACCTAACCAAGCGAAACATTTATTTGAAAATTTCCCATTGTTCTTGTAGAAAAAAATATCTCTTAAAGGATCAATACTTTTGCAAATATATCAATCTGATCTTGACAATAATTCACCTATTTGTTAATGCATCGATTTGACTGCTGGATATTCAGCAAATGTCACTTGGAATATACTCTCTAATAATGATGATTTGTGTTTACCATTTCAAATGTTATTATTACATATCATTGCCATATGCGATTGAATATCATCATGCTGATGTTGTATCATTATACTGTTCATTGCACATTCAGTAAGGAACATTCCATCAAATGCTCACCTTCGTTTATTGTTTTCTTTTCATTTAGTGATGTTTCACTGAAACTATTATTGAAACATTCCAGCAAATAATTACAATCGTTTTAATTTCATCAATTTTGTTTACTCATTGCTCTCGTACGTTCCATTAATTTAGCTAGTATGGTCCCCTTTAGTGCCCTCTACCTTATTAAACTCATGGGATTCGGTACGATCGTATACAAGTGAATTTTTTTGTTGTCAATGAACACATACGAACTTGAATATGGGAATTTTTTGATAACGTTATTGAAGAAATGATTGTGAGTGAATGAAATGTTCGGTGTGAATCGACAGGTTTACACAAGCTTTTATCGAAACGTTTCGATAGGATCAATTGATGGGAATTTTTGCCATGGTGACAATGGAAAGAAATGAATTTGAATGTGAAAATTGATGCCTTTGGCAGATTGGATTGTGAAATGCCGTTCTATTGTGGAATCGAGAGTTGTTCTTATATGCGATCGATCGTGTAACCTGAAGCATGAAAATATTGTGACTTTCGAACTTGGTGCAATTTCTGGACGGTTTCTCGCTAGTTGCATGCAGTTTTGCAGTTCATTCGTCTAATTTGTTTGGTTTAATTCTTTTACAACATTTCAGTCTGTGGTTTTTCTGCTGCAAGTGTCAGGAACGGGTACGTTATTGAAGAGTGAAGAGAAGAAGCGAAAGTATTGGTTTAATGCCGCATTGTTATGATTTTCATGATTGAGGTGAGCACTGTGCGAGTTATTCCTTCAACTTTTTGAATTCGAACTAACCCGGAAAAACTGCTTACTGATGGGGTTTAATGAGATATCTAAACCGAACGAGCGGTGGCTCTCCGAAGTAAACATTGCTACTCTAGCGTGGGATATTGGTAACCAAATGAACGGGGTGTTAGTTCAGCTAATGCAGTGAATCAATGCAAATTGTGCGTTCGCATCGAAATTCATTGATACGTTCTTTGCTTGAGAGAAAAATTTTGTTCGACCGAAATAACTCAAAACGAACGACGGATCATTCTGACGAATCCACTTACCTGTTCAAGCAATTGCATAGATTTGAAAGAAGATTCAGCAAAAAAAATCACTGCCACTGAAACATTTCAATAACAAAACAAATTTTTTCAATAGCAAATATCAGCATAAAAGAATTAATAATGTGTGAAAAGATTCTTATCATCGTTTCAATTCAATTGATTCATCGAATAATTTCTATTTGCTCTTTTCCTATGAGCATTATCATTTGTTATTTGTTATTCTTATCATCAATTACCAATTTCATTCTTCATTCGCATTCGTTTCTCATTCCTATTTTCTACTCGATGATCGCATTTTCCATCGTCTCTTGTGTCCCATCTTCTCGGCACATTAACCGCACATACGTGTTTCGCATCCATCGTATGGTCGCGCTTCATTTTACAGGAGAACGCTTATTAAGTAATCACCCAACCTTATCAAATCGCTATTTACCTATCGCAGGCAAATGTTGTTCCATTAGTGCGTTCACAATCAGCTCCAAACCTGCGCATACCGAGTGATCATTACCGGTGTTTTTGGATGGTAATTACCGGAGCGTTTGAACGACTCTTGATTTTAGTCAAGAAAAGGGACACAAATTTTATGAAGGAAAATGATGCCCACGGAAGTTCCAATACCTTGCTCCGTGACAAAACTTCCTACAATTTCTCGCCTGCTTACTGCAATCCACTGTCGGCCATCCTTCACGAAAGGAATAAATATGCAGCTAGAGGGTGGAAGAAATGGTCAGTTCCCACATCTGATTTCAAAAAAACCCTCGAAGAGCTTCTAGTCGTCGTTCGCTGTCTTGAATTCAAGAACAGTTGATTCTGGGTTTTATTAGCTGATATATATCACTGCCTTAAGAGTATTTTTCAGTCTGTGTTCTCAAAAATCGCTTGCTATTCTTTCATGTTTCTCTTCAACTGCACAACAGTTGCCTAGTGAAGATATTGAAGATAATTCAATAAAACGATCAAAGTGATATCGGTGCTGAATGTAATGAGAAATTTAAGATATAATCAAGAAATAAGTAGCAATAACTACTGAAAATTCATTTCTGAATCAAAATATCAATCGTACTGTGGATTGTTGGTTTTGTGAGCATTGCATATGAATGATATGTGAATATTTATTCATTCATCTATTTCGGCTTGTGGGAAAGAAACACAGAATGTGGCAGCAGATCTTTTTCATAGAAGCGCATTTATCTCTGTTTAAATCTCCTCTTTGTAAGGACATTTAGTGTGCCACTGTGCGGCTTTCAAGTTCATAAAGTTATCATTTCCTTAAGAGCTTCTGTCAATTTTGAGCCGATCTCCCGAACGTAACAAATCGACAATATGATCCAGTCGAATCTTAAGCACTTCTGCAAACTTCACATTTGAATTTCGGAAGAAATAGTTTTCCTTCTTCAGTTTGCTCACTTAAATGATGAACAATTTCGCTATTAATGTGTTTTCGCAGTCTACTTTGAACGTTGCAGGATATGTTATCGTCTCTGATAAGCACACCAACTTCGCTAGCGATCACCTACTTGTTAATTGTTTTACACCAACTGCTGGTGCATTGTGCAACGGTTGATCTCGACTGGGTCTCCTCTAATCCGCTGTCAGTTTCATGCATTCATTCGAAACAAACTTCAATTCAGTACCGTTATTCACATTTTCCGCTTCCCATTCATCAATCCAGCCAAAATTAGCGTTTTCATGTGTAAGATCACATTTTCGCTCTGATATTTACCGACCTCAACCGGAATTTTGCCGTGTATGGAGTTGCACTACTTTTTTTAATAAAGTTGTGCGTTGCAACTTCGTTCTTTGCCTGATTATTAAAAGAACAAAAAAATGAAAGCAAAACCAAACGAAGTAACTTCAATCATACGAGTATGCATCGGAAGTTTTGATTCAGACCAGAACTAATTCAGGTTCCTGGCGTCAGGTTTGCGCATATTAAGGCGAGACGTTCGAATCAACGACCGTATTCGTTTCGCATGTTCTCAAGATGGGTCAGAACACGTTGCCATTCACAGGGTTATTTTCATTCCATTGCAATCATCACTCAAACTCGTCGCAGTTTTTTAAAGACTCACAAATGAATTGAGTACAATATCATGACCGTTCAGCGTTTAACTTAAAGAATAGCAGATGTAACGAATATTGTTCAAATTTTCAACGCTTCCTATTGATGTACAGGTGAGTGAACGAGAGGCATTTTCGTGTCAACGTCTGTCGAGATTCACCGATGCACTCGTTGGAACGTGCACAAAAGCGAATGATTCCGTAATCATACGACTACGAGAAATTCCAATGCTGCCCAACGAACTCTCATATAAACCGAACAACGATTACTATTTCATTTGTAAGCCATACAATCGCATTGTTCTTTTAGAATGCACCTACCAAAAGCATTTGGTTATTTATTCAAAATATTTATAATTCGAGAAGTAAAGTGCGATGCGGATTCACACACTATCCTCTCAATCATGAAATGACAATTCAAGAAAGAGCTGAAGTCGAGATCGGAAGAGAGGTAAACAAGGTTAGGGGATACGATAGATGAACCAACGGTTTATTGTTGACGCCGATCATTCTGAAGTGATATGAAGCGGAAATGATTCGACGGCAACCTTGACGTTGCACGGTGATACGATGAGCTCAATGTTTGGGTGTCATTTACGTGTCTGATCATTATTAATGCTCATAAACAATACTGTTACATTGTTATGGTTTGGTGTTCATCGTGCAAAACACTCTTCAAATTCTCTCGATTCACAACGCTATTCATTTGCGCAGATGAGACATTTTCGCGCATTAGTTTAGATGAATGGCATTTGTAGTCATCATAATTGACATTGCGGTGTATTGAAGCGAATTATGAGTGAAGTGGACTGATTGCATTACGCAATAGGTTGTTTATTGCTGAGGTTAGATAAATATCATCGAGATTATCTAATCAGGATTATATTTGCTGGTAATAAGTCATCGATTGTGACAAATTATTTTTGGATAAGATTTTAGAGGGCATTACGGCAGTCTACGATGAATACGATAGACAGTGTTGATGGTTGGTAAAGCGGTTATGTACTGTAACCATTTATTCGCTATAGTTATCGTTGTTTTCCCATGGCAAATTTCCGGCTTTGAAACATTTCATTCGTGTGGAAAGGAAGTCATTTTGCAGCCACATCAACCGGGACGCCTGAAGGTCTTGAGAATTTCAATGGGGGTCTGTGTGCATCGCAAAAAATGCGAATTCAGATTCACGTCAACCCTCGAATGGACTCGACCTCAGCAGCTATTGATCGAACGGGTGGGTTGAATGGAACTTTCTTAGGAGATTTATCGATTAAAATCCCATTGAAGTAGTATTTTAGTTTCTCAATATATATTTTCTGATTCAGGCACATTGCGATCACGTATGCCTTGGGAATATAGGAGGTTTATTGTAGGAGCGGATGATTCGTTCCCGAGCAGAGAGCATATAATGGTGTTACCGGTAGATTCGAGACAATACCCTGTGCCAGTTATGTACGTTCCAGTAAGTGCTTTTTATTATGAACGTTTGAGGCAGCTATTGGATTCAACGAATTAGTACATAGCGCGAATGAATCATAATGATGTGAAGAATTACTTTGATGTTTTGGACAGAGGACTTTATGAAGGAGAGAAGTCGCTGTGCTTATCAGCATTTAACCGACATTTTTACCTGTAGTGGTTCACGTTCTGGAATTTGAGGTGAGCGCTTCGAATGCGGATTTGGAAAGTGAGGATGGGAAACGCTTGCGATTGCCTCAACATTTGTACATTCCGAACGGTCGTCTTCAGACCAGTCTCCTCGGCAATGCGCGCATTTTGGATCAGACAGGTTCAGTTGCGTTCATTGTTCAGTTCAGCATATAGTTAATCATTTATTGTTCTCCATCCACCCGGATTCGCCAAAAATTTCGGCATTTTTCACTAATGAAACGTACCACAGCCATGCATTCCACTGATGAAACAACAGTTTCAGGTGTCATCAACGATGCATCTGCCGACTATTCCCATCATCGTCCACGCGTCATAGTTCAACATCGTTCCGATCCGGCACTAACGCGTGATGCAGGCAGAAGTGATGCTGCGGGCAGCGATCGTTTCGATGCTCAAGATGAACCGTTCAGACTGTTTGAAAGATCCGATGTACGAGGTTATCTTGAAGGTGATTCAAGACGTGGCGATGGAATGGCCAGGGCAACTGCGCTTAAAGGCAATGGTGATGAGAACGATTTTGAAGTGGAATATGTGGACTCGGCAGCAAGTCGAGGTTTGCCTTTTTCGCAATTGAGCCTTTCTCAAGTCTCTTCTATCAACTATTATACGAAGCGGTTCATCTACGAATGTCGATAATTATCAATGAAAGTGATCAGTTTTGCTATAGGAGCTTTCAGCTGTTACCTAGAAAAGATTTACAACGGAATGATGATTCGCTTTAATGAACCAGATATCCGATTACACTGTTTTGTGAGAATCATGCGATTCGTACGATTTTGTGCAAAAAATTATTTGTTCCAGGAATAGTGAAAACGCAATGGTACTGCTGCGAGATCATATCGATATTTCTATCGATTATCATAATTCGACAGTTTCAGTGAATTTCACTTATTTTGCTGCTTGCGAGTGTATCCGAACTCGCTCACATTATCTTCTCATGTTTTTTGAGCAGCAATTGCTTGTGTCATCGGGTTTTATTGCATATCATGCATATATGTAATAGTTTGCGAAACGCAACTGTATATTTTTGTTCGTTTGTGATGATGATTACTGTGCTTCAGATAGTTACTCGTTTGTTTTAGCTGCGACCATTTCATGTTTTCTTCTGCCAGATTTGTTATCTCTAAAACTTATATGTAGTTTGTCATGTCAGTATTGTTTTGAGGAATGAAATGGTTTTTTTTCCCAAATGTTCTCCCCGTAGCCATTTGAAAGAATTGCTGAATTTCGAAACACTCTCATGGTGTTCATCCTTCTGTCATCCGTCCCACATTTTATGACCAGGATTCCTTGAAATTTTTAAAATTGCCATCCTACACCAATCCATTCTAATGCTGATGCTATTAGGGGCATTGCCATGCTTTCATGATTGCTTTTCACTTCCGAATGGCTTTCTTGTTATAAATTATCTTGTTCGACATACTCGAGTGATTGTTACATTTGAAATCTGCATCGTTTGACAATCTATTTTCTATTTTCTCTTGTCTGATATATTATAGGTGAAACGACCGATTTCGTTTTTTGAATATTTTCTCATTGAAAGTCACTTATTTTGTCTTTCTTCATTGTGAACATACTGCAATCAAACAATCAATCAATCGCGTGTTCTTTTGAACATCCACCATATATTCCACCTCTTTGCTCTGTGAGATTATCATCGTTTATCTGAACGACTATTTAATTACACATCACAGTTTGTCGTCTTCGATTAAGGCTTTCCATGTCTTAATCCTCTTTTCACTCAATCTTTGTGTTTTATGTTTATTACTCTTCTGAATACGTGCCTCATCGTCACCGGTGTTTCATGAAGTCTGATGATCCATTCATATGCTAGGCATCTACTATATTTTTCATTTCATCAACATAAATGAGCTGTTTTATTTAGCGACTCTCGTTAAATTTTTACTTTATCTTCATTGAATGATCATCAAAAGCACTATTTGTATGATATAATTTTAGTATTATGACATTTTAGTGCATGATTGAGCCCTATGTGTGGAGAGAATGCTTCACAATTACCTAAAATGCTCCATTTTTTTATTACAATTGAAAAAGCAGTAGAATTTTCGGAATGCATTTCCCTTGGACATACACAAACTTGTTTGGTCACTGTTATTTGCCAGTGGTTGAACAGTCGGATTGATGAAAATTCGTTGGAACAAACGAAACTTTTGTGTGTCACTCATAAGCGGTAGCAGCAGTTTTGGTGGATCACTCAACAATGGCGTTGATTCAATGAATTCGAGTAAAATTCCTGTGTTTTAATCGTGTTCTTTGCAACGGCACATTTCGTGTTGTTTTTTGTTTGTTAATATCACTTGTTTGTTTGAAGTTAATTTATGTTAATATATTGTTGGTGTTAATATGTGTTAATATCATTTTGAAAATAATGAAAATATTTGATGAAGTTGTTCTGCTTGAATCACGAAATAATGTGACATTCCCAGCTATTTGCCGATTAATTTGATTGAGTAATACTGTGCCAGTAGTCAAGAGAGTTTATCAGTTGACATTTCCATTATGTGATGAAACTGTACTCTTATCACATGAGCCATAAAGTTTAGCAGGGATTTTCGAATCAAGGAAATGAGCCTAATCAGTTTCTGAGCAAATCCCTCTCGGGGAAGGTTGTTCTATTCCGCTCTTATCGAAAGTCTCCATCATACTCTGTATTCAATAGATTACCGCAAATTCAATGAACACTCCCACAAACATTTATCGGAGCACTCCCAGCATAACAGAGTTGAGCATATGTGATAAGAAACAAGGAACTAAGTGAACGAAACCTCAAAGCAAAGAACGAGTTCATTCACGTCAAACAAATGATAACTCCACTCACTCACGCTCAATGATGTATCGACGATTGTCCTTTGCCACAGCTGTTCCGATTAATTGTGCCCTTTTTATCGATTCAACTCAGTATTTTACTTCGATACAACAATTTACTTTAAGTGGATAAAGCGATCAGTCGGACTAGTCGTATCGGTATGCTGCAGCTGAACCATTTCTTCGCACACTTACTCAACTTCATCAGTTACAATTGTTTCACGCTGAAATTTTCAATTCTTTCCTCCTTATCTACGAAAGAAATTGCTCAAAACGGTTCTGTACTCGCGATTTTAACAAATTAACTTGTAGTGCATCCTTAAGCAATGTGTATGTCTTCGAATTGCATTCACTGTTCGAAACTGATGTAATGTTCGATGA